GCCACACCCCCTGACATCACCGGAAGTGTGTCATAAGGCCACACCCCCTGACATCACCGGAAGTGTGTCATAAGGCCACACACCCCGCCCCCAACGGTCCCGGCCAACGGTGCCGGCTTTGCAGCTCCACTGCCGAGCCCCATGAGGGGCCCGGCGGTGGAGCTGCAAGGCTGGCGGGAGGGCAAGGAAGACCCGCAAAAGCCCTCCCTGGCCCCAGGCAGGCAGGGGTGGGGAGAGGCAGGGAGGGAGGAACTTACCCTCCCTCTTCTCCTGCCTCCTCCTGGCTGAATGAGGGCCGGAAGCGGGGCGGCCGGAAGCAGGGGGCGGGGCTTCGTCATGTGCCCTGCCCCCCGTACCTCACCCGGGGGAACTGCGATCCCCCGCGTTCCCCCCCGAAATGACCTCTGTATTTCCGTATATTCTTTATAGCACTGTGAAAATCTGCCCTAGAAGTATATTGTGGACAGCTTGTCCACGTTGGTCAATAAGTACAATGGAAACGTGTGTTTTTTAAATGATGAGTGTGTCCAATACCAGCTTCTCATCCTGAGCTTTCAGGAGTAATCTTTACTGCAGCATCTTTACTGCAGCAAATCATAGAATCACAGAGCTGGAAGGGGCCACGCAGGCCATCTAGTCCAACCCCCTGCTCAATGCAGGATCAGCATAGAGCACCCCTGACAAGTGTTTGTCCAGCCGTTGCTTGAAGACTGCCAGCGAGGGGGGAGCTCACCACCTCCCTAGGCAGCTGGTTCCACTGTTGCACAACTCTTTCCTAACATCCAGCTGGTACCTTCCTGCCCCTAATTTAAACCCACGATTGCAAGCCCTGCCTTCTCCTGCCGACAGGAACAGCTCCCTGCCCTCCTCCTCTAAGGGAAAGCCCTTCAGATACTTCAAGAGAGCCATCCTGTCCCCCCTCAACCTCCCCCTCTCCAGGTTGAACTTTCCTAACTCCCTCAGCCTTTCCTCACAGGGCTTGGTCTCCAGGCCCCTGATCATCCGTGTCGTCATTACCCGATTCTTCATCATATAGTTGTTAGGAGAGATGCCTAAATTCTTGTTTCATTCCAGAATAAACTAGCCTTGCTTTCCTTTACCACTGGAGGAGACCAGGGGATGTATTCAGATGACGGAGTCAGCGGCAATATCCGTTACCTTCTGTGGCCCATGCAGGTAACCTAAAGCCCATGCAGATCCTTCCGGCTCAATGCCGTTCCTCTTGATCTTTAAGTACTGGTACGGCTTGTTTTAAAACCTTAATCTATCTGGCGTCTGCAGTAGATATAACACGGCTCCAGGCAGCTGATGCAAGTAACCAGCTCCATGCATCACATGCCCACTATCGCCTCGGCCAGTGACATTATTCCACATTTGGAAAGTTTGGTGTAGTGGAGCCAGTTTGGTGTAGTGGTTAAGTGTGCCGACTCTAATCTGGGTGAACCGGGTTTGATTCCCCACTCCTCCACTTGCACCTGGCTGGATGACCTTGGGCAAGCCATCGTTTTGACAAGAGCTGTCCTTGAAAAAGAGCAGTTTCTGTCAGAGCTCTCTCAGCCCCACCTACCTCACAGGCAGTGTTCCCTCTAAGCTGAGTTAGTGTGAGCTAGCTCACAGTTTGTTAGCCTCCAGCTCACCCATTTTTGCCTTCGCTCAGGAAGGATGGCTCCAGAGCAAACTAATTGATGCAGCGGCTCACAACTTTAATTGCCAGTAGCTCACAGAGTAGAATTTTTGCTCACAGGACTCCATGGCTTAGAGGGAACATTGCTCACAGGGTGTCTGTTGTGGGGAGGGGAAGGGAAAGGAGTTTGTAAGCCGCTCTGAGACACCTTTGGGTAGTGAAGGGCAGGGTATAAATCCGATCTCTTCTCTTCTCTTCTTCAAATACAGTCAGCTATCTCTTTTGTCTTCTGAAGTTAACATGTCATTGTGCCCACTGTAGGATGGCCTTCCTGGTTATGGGTGGCTTTGAAATGCCGTTGCCTGTTGGAATCAGTTCAGTCCAGGCACACTCAGCTGCACAGGAATATGGGAAGGGAAAAAGGAAACACTTCCTAGTGTATGTCTTCTTCCTCCCCACTCTAATCTGGGAGAACTGGGTTTGATTCCCCACTCCTCCACATACAGCTGCTGGCATGATCTTGGGTCAGTCACAAGTTCTCTCAGAGCTGTTCTCTCACAAGAAGTTCTCAAAAGAGCTCTTTCACCCCCACCTACCTCAAAAGGTGTCTGTTGTGGGAAGGGGAAGGGGAAGGAGACTGTAAGCCCATCTGCGACG